TTCCTTAGTGTTAAAAAGGAAGATCTCATTGAAGCAAGCATCAGATATGATGAAATCAGCTCGCTTGTAACACTTCGTGAACCTTTAAAAGAAAGCCTGCTCAAGATAACCAAATTCATCTTTTTAGTAACTATGTTTCTCAATACGCCATTTTTTGATTGCGTCATGGAATTTTTGTATGGCGTTGAGGTGCTGCCAAAATAGTCGCGCGAGATTGTCATCCGAGCACCCACCTGCAGTACTTCAACTCGCCGACAGATGGCAGAGGCGATGCTGGAAGTGTGCTGGGCAAAATATCGTTATGTGCTCGTATGGTATGTCGTTCCTTTCTTGCGGTGTTCGTGCACACTTATTCGGGAGTTTCAGAAGTCTGTTTGCAAGTAACATTCTCAGTTATGGGCGCTTGCTTAAGGTTTTCGATTACAAATGAGATTTGCAATCGAAAAAGAATCAGCGGAAGACACCTGATCGACAAGAGCGCACGGACTTGCCAGTAGAAAAGGTCCCGACAACATCGCAGGACCCTCCGAGCAAATGCAAAAAATCAAGGACAGCGTGGAATGCCTCTTAGTGATCGAATTTACCCTGCGAGTAGACATATGGGGCCCCCAGGGGCAGTGTAGGGGCTATGGACAGCACGATGAGCCTATGGGCCCTTTCGGAAGCTTTGGTACCCCGTCTTCCCCCCTCTGTATCCGACCCTAACCCTCCCTTGTTATGGCGTGAGAAAGCTCAGAGCAAAAGCTGACTCTGCTCCCCAACTCTCCGCTACGTATTTGAAGTATACGCATAGTTCAGCATAACATTACTTTTTTAAAAGCAAGTAAGCTTGGGTATGGTAGTGCTCATTTTGAGGCTCAGAAACAGGTTATTTCTGCATTTCATTTTTTCCATTTGGTGAAAAGCATGGTTCTTACAGGAAGCTCTTGCTCAGGGGCGGCGACACCTCGAGAGAACGTGGCGACGCATCTTTCGCAAATGTCAAAGCGTGGGAGATTGTCCTGCGCACATTCGCCTGAGTGCCCCTTTCCTGTAATAGTCAGCTGACGACGGCTAATATCCGCACCAGCTCATTCGTCCGGCTTCCGGCAACAAGACCGTCACGCACCTCACGTGATTCTGCAAGCCTGAGGCCTTGGCTGGCAGGGCACACACGTGTGGCAGACGCACCAGCTTGACCCAGTGCAGCACCCGCGCTACAACAGCTACGAGGGCGAGTTCCGGACGGGCGAGCGCCACGGCCAGGGTGTGTTTCACTACGCCTCGGACGCAACCTTTACCGGCCGCTGGGGCCACAACCTGAAACAAGGCTCTGGCGTCTACGTGGACGTGGTGCAGGCCAAGACCATGCAGGACTTCATCGACGACAAGGTAGGTATTGTGAGGTCGGATCGATCTCCGGGCTAATGCACCATCGAGCACACAGGCCAAGACCATGCAGGACTTCATCGACGACAAGGTACGTATTGTGAGGTTCGATCGATCTCCGGGCTAATGCACCATGGAACACACAGGCCAAGACCATGCAGGACTTCATCGACGACAAGGTAGGCATTGTGAGGTCGGATCGATCTCCGGGCTAGTGCAGCCATCGAACACACAGGCCCAGTTTTGGGACGCACGTGGCGATGTATTGCGCCCGTTGCACCTTTCTGGAACGACCGTCATCCGTGTTATGTCTGCACTTATGTAGGGCTTTCTTTTACGAACCGATCATTAAATATGACAGAAAGTTCTGGGTTAATGATCGCTTATTGGGTGTTTTCGATTTTTCATAGAGCTAAGCGCGCTTGGGAAGTATGTTTGTATACGATGATATGTCGAGGGTCGTAGTCATTATATGAAATACTTTAAGGTCGACGGTACGCATTTTTCTCAGGTGATGACCACGTTTACGATATTTCAGCAGGCTTCCACCATCCGCAGAAAGAAATGCACTGTGTGGAAATAGAACACGAGAATGTACCTGCTAATCACCCTCAAACAAATATTAGATATACATTGTGTTACATGAGATATACGCATAAGTACTTTCAACGGGAATGTGCAAATGCTTTCGATAAAAGTGTCTATTCATGTCATTGGCCCCTATTAAAGAGCTCCTAGATACTCACTACGCTACCCTGAATTTACGTGACGGGCGATACATCACTTATGTGTAGTTTCGATGATTGGCAACTTCATCACGTCCTCAAAATTCTTCAGGATTATCATACAGCATCAGATACTAGGCTGTTTCGCGTCAAACATTTATCGTGACAGCTTGTCAGATGCTCCTTTGGGCCGCCGTTCCGTACGTGCATTTGCTAACGCTTCGTTCCGTCACGCGTTACACATTGCCAGACGTCAGCCTGGGGATGGCATTGCATGGCTTACATAGCATACTTTAGGGGTCGCACAGTCTCTGCGGGTGCATGAATATCGGCACACCATATCTGCATGTCTCATTTTTGTTGTATGCTTACAGTAACCCTATGAACTTTGTGGTCAATCACGATTTTCCGATTTTCTGAAGCGCACCTATTTTTATTTACGCATCCGGGAGTGTGCGAACCATGAAGTATGCTGTGTAACGTATACAACAGCATCCCTAGGCAGACGCCTGACGATGCACGTGCAGAGTGGCGGTCCAATCAGCGTCTGAGAAGCCCTGACGGCAAACGATTGACGCGAAGCGTCCTTATCTCTTACAACATTACCCTGATAAAGTGAGGAGACCGAAGGAGGTTGCCCATCATCGAAGCTGTTAAAATAAAAGAGATGCCGTGCCTTACCAATATTCACAGCAGGATGTCGAATACCTTTGTTTTCTTTGATGGGCTGTTTGTGACACGAACGCCTTTAACATGAGAGTTGGCACTTTGCCATTGAAGACACCTATTCCAATAGGTTTTGTAACGCTATGTGGTTCACATTGGTTTGAGGATGTACATTCTAAGTTCATTTCATCCGCACATTCTCGTGTTTTATCTCCCCACGATATGTTAATTAATGCAATATCCTGAGGATCGTGTAAGTCGACTGAAATACCTTACCATAACATATCAATCATTTGATATTATTGCGCATCGTGTCTTGCATGTAATGACTACGATGATCCACGCTAACATCTATGAACATGCTTCTGAAGCTCGCTGAGCTATACGATACGAGCAATCGAGATCATCAGGAAAAAACCGTTAGCGCATAACTTACTGTCGTGTTTATTGATACATACATACACACACATATATATATTATAGATATAATAGATATATAATATATATATATATATAGATATAGTATAATAGAGAAGATGAGAAGAGAAAGAACGAGAGAGAGAGGAGGCGAGAGAGAGCTGAGAGAGAGAGCAGAGAGAAGCGGAGAGAGTAGAGAGAAAGAGCTCTCTTCCTACGAGGAGAAGAGAGAGAGAGAGAGAGATGGAGGAGACTCCGAGATCTCTCTCTCTCCTCTCTCTCTCTCTCTCTCCTCTCTCTCTCTCTCTCTCTCTCTCTTCTTCTCTCTCTCTCTCTCTCTCTCTCTCTCTCTCTCTCTCTCTCTCTCTCTCTCTCTCTCTCTCTCTCTCTCTCTCTCTCTCTATCTATCTATCTATATCTATATATATATATATATATATATATATATATATTGTATATGTAGGCGTTCGTGAGAGCGTTCGTGCGTGCATGCAGGTCGTGAGCTACATGTGCGAGGTCAGCTGGTTCGTGATGGGGAAATGTTCTAGTCCTAGGGCGAGGCTGACAACCTAAGGAGACGTATATGACGTTGCAACCGGCAGGTGATGTACGTATGCGAGACAAGCGAGGAGACGGGCACCACGATGTGCGTGTACAGCGATCTCCGCGACTTCGAACATCTGCTGAAGCCTACGTACCAGCTGGACATGGGGCCACTGCTGCAGGGTCTGCCGGAGGCGCAGCGCGAGCTCATCTCAGAGCAGGTGTGGATCGTGCTGCGCCGGCACATATCTGAGTTGCGCCGCATCTACAACTACTACAGCGGCCTGGGTACCAGTGACCTCAAGGACAAGAGCTACGTGGCCATGACGCAGCTGCAGTGGTGGCAGATGATGCGCGATTGCGACGTCCACCTGTCGGGGGTGCCGGCCCAGGTGCTGATGGGTATCCCAATGCTGGCCTGTGGCACTGGTCACCCGCTGGCCGTGGTCCACTTCCATGAGTACCTGCTCATGTTCCTGCTTCTGGCTGACATTCTGTACACGAGCGAGCAGGACTGGCAGCTGGCCGAGCGGGTCGGCCGCTTCATCGAGCAGGTGGTGCTGGTAAGGGACGCGCGCGTCATCAGCGGCCTGACCGTGACGCTGCCGCTCAGTCAGCGGCCGCTGGCACCGCAGCTGGAGCAGCTGTACGAGGTGTTCCAGCTGCTGCAGCCTGCCACGGTGCGCGACGCCGTGTGCCGACTGGGCACGGGTCGCGTGCCCGAGTTTCCAGCCGTGCGCGCAGCGGTGATCCTGCGCGCGGCGCGCCAGGTCGTGCCGCTCATGGTGGTCGAGGACTCGCTCGACATGGAGCTGGAGCTCACATTCCTCGACTTCTGCGAGGTTCTGCTACTCAGCCGACAGATGCACGCCGAGCAGCGCCGATCTGCGCAGCGGCCGCCACCCCCGCGCGCCCGCCGTCCCTCCCGACCACTCTATGAGCGAGTCGTGCCCACATACGCACTGCTCCAGTACAAACAGCGGCTGTTGGCGTCCCTCCGTGAGCTCGCCGCGCCACCGCCAAAGAAGCAGCCGGCCACTAGGAACACGGCCAGGGGGGCCAAGCGCGCCGACAAGAAGTCCAGCATCGGCTCCCAGTTGCCGCAGAAGGACAAGGACAAGATTTCGGCCATGAAGATGAGCAAGAAGTCCTGAAGTATTCCGCAGTTCTCTGTCCAACACTGAAGTGTTTGAGGGTGATACTTATGTCATAGTGGTGGACGCTCCCCGCGTTACGTCTAGTGAATCAGTAGATCAGCGCAGTGTCGTTTGTTACGACACGGACGTTACGTCTAGTGAATCCGCAGACCAGCGCAGTGTTGTTCCTTACGACACGGACGTTACGTCCTCCGAGTTTCATCGGGACGCACCAAATTGTAAAATATATTGTTACAAGCGGTGGTGTTTTAAACACATCGATGTGGCTGTTGTGAAGAGATGTGAGCTAGAAGCAGTCTCATTCCAAACCAGGCGGGGTTTTCAGAAACTATCAAGCATCTTCTCGCGCACGCAGTCGCCGCATTGAACCATCCAAGTAGGGACTCCTGCAGATGGAGAGACTCCTGTAAGTAGAAGTAGGGACTCCTGCAAAGACTGGCGCAGGTGCACACAAAGCGGCTTACTGGTTTCCAAGGTTTCATAAATGATGCTCTGCCCTTCACTACTTTCAGATGACTCCTGAAAGGCATCATCAGTCACGAGCGTCGTGCTGCACTAGCTGGCAGGCCCCAGAGTAGCATTCAACCGCGCTAACGTGGATGCCAAATGGACATTGTGCACATTTTCATCACATGAGCTTCAGTTCGCGCGCGTCTGTGCTGCTGTCTGTCGCACAGGCCGGTTTTGACCGACTCCTGCATGCGACGTCTCTGTACGGAACGGATGCGTCGTGAGGCAGGCTGCGGCCGAGCGCGTGCGACGACTGACGCTGCCGACAGAGCCGGGTCGGCTCTGTCAGCGCCAGTTGTCGCTGTGTGTTTCCGCATGCCGTCCGTCTCGGCGCCACCGTCTTGCGTCTCCACTGCGCGCCACACCGCACCGATCAGAAGCTGACGGCTGAACTCGGAGCGATCACACAGCCTCAGAACCAGACCGCGGTAATGGAGCTGGGGATCCTGACCGAGCGAATCCGTGTCGGTAACCTGGCCATATCCGTGTTTCCGAGATTATCAGGCGACTCACAAACGTGCGTACTGAGTAAACGGCATTAATCCGCGATCCCGTGGTGCTCTCGCCGACATATTCACGGGCACCTAAAACATCTACCGGCATGGGGAAGAAATATAAAAAAGTATTCCTTTTGTTCTCAGAAGAAATACAATCATGATGGGAACCATCATGCATCGGTAGGCCAGCGAGACAGTGCCCAGTCTCAGTGCGAGCGATCGGACCATGCTTCCCAAGTTTCGGCCGTAATATGCCAAACCCCACGTCTTGCCGCCAGCCGGAGGCACATGGGCAAAAACGCCGACAAAAACGGCCCCGGTCGCGCAGCGATGGACGGGAAGGGCGGCTGGGTGCCGGCTCCAGTGTCAGCGACCTCGCTGAAGCGAGCTGCCGCCCGCTCCTGACCTGCCGAGCGCCGGCTCCAGTGTCAGCGACCCCCTGCAGCTACCTGCCACCCGCTCCCAACCTGCCGGCTCCAGTGTCAGCGACCCCCCTGCAGCTAGCTGCTGCCCGCTCCTGACCTGCCGGCTCCAGCGTCAGCGACCCCACTGCAGCCAGCTGCCGCCCGCTCCTGACCTGCCGAGCGCCGGCTCCAGCGTCAGCGACCTCACTGCAGCCAGCTGCCGCCCACTCCTGACCTGTCTCGCCGCCGCGGCCACTGACAGACGACTCCAGGAGAGACAGGTGTGTGCAGTAGCGTGTGACCGGTGATCTGGATATGAACAGGCACAGTGGACTGCAAACCGTGATTCAAACAGGTATTGTCGGATGCGCCCTTGTTGTTGAATGATGGTGTTGGCTGTGACCTGCCTAACACTGCACAGCACAAAATGGATCCATTTCAATGGCTGCCTTGCCAAAAGGTTGAGAGCAATGATACCCGCTCTTACTTTCATTTGTTTCAAAAAAATGCGCATTGCTTTTCTAGACCTAGCGTGTTTGCCAGAACCGATCATCTGTTTAAACGTAGCAGTGCTTCTCACTTCGCATTCATATTCCTCTCCCATGCATTTAAACATCGGTGCACATTTACAGGACACCGTTTTCAGCTGATGCTCGCCGCTGTGTTCAAGCAAAGCGTGATGGGGCTGAGCCCAGGAAGGGTTGGCCGGTGTTTGCGCGTTCGCCGCTGGTCTCGCAAACAGCATGGCCTCCTGATTGCCGGCACGCTCCTGACTCTGTTCTTCAACACCAGAGGCCCACAAGGCACCGAGTAAGTTACAACATGGCTTCACGAGGATGAGAGCACAAGCATGCAGTCAGTGGCGGATCCAGAGGGGGGCGGGGTCGGGGTACGTGGCCATGTCCCCTCCTCTTGGGCTCCGAAGGAGCCACAACCGGCCAAACGGTCGCAGGTTTTGAACACGAAGCGCAATAAATGAATTTGGCCTCCAGGTGACCGGAGGGTGCCGCAAGCGAAAACGAAGGGTCGATGAGTAGACAAAAGGATTATTTGCCGATTTAGAGCGTGGTGATAAGAAAGGTTTGAAGGCTCCTTACGCAATCCTAGGACCATATGCTGCCGCCGGAGACGTTACATGTTCACTTGCCGGAGCACTCCGATCGCTGAGAAACCCTCCACGTTGCCCTTGAGCTTTTCGCGTTTGTTTTGAGGGCCCGACGATGCTGTCGGAGTCCTATCTTCTAACCTGCCGCGGGACTCTTGATCAATCGGAGGCCCTCCACGGGTTTCTCCAATTTGCTCCAAAGTCTCTGCCCGTTATTGCCGGTGGCCCATATGTTTATTCGGCGTAATCTCTGTTGCTCAGAGGCCTCTCACATTGGTGTCGGGTTCTTTTCACTTGCTCAGAGGGGTCCGCGCTGTTGATTGGACCATATAAGGTAACCTTTCAAAGCAGTCGATGCTCAGGGCTCCCCTACAATGATCTAGGCCTCCTCGCATTTGCTGTCATTTGCGGAGGACCTTACACTCTCATCGGGGATTCTTTCTGTTGACCTGCTCGGACACTCTTAATCGCTCAGGGGACCTGCCACATTGGTCTTGGGTACTTCATACCTGCTCCGGGGACCTTATGACGTTTTTGGGGTCCGATATGTTCATCTCCCAATGCACTCTCGATCGCTCAGGGGCCTTCCACATTGGTCTTGGTTTCTTTCCGTTTGCTTGAGGCCCCTGCGGTCTAGCCAGGACCCTACATGCTAACCTGCCGGGGCACTCTCGAGAGCCCTGATCTTTCAGTGGCCCACCGCATTGGTCGAGGAATCTCTCGCTTGCTCGGAGGACCTACACTGGGGACGGGGCTCTTTGTTGAACTAATGCGGCACCCTGGATCAGCTCATACGCCATCCGTGTTGGACTCGCTTTTTTTCTTTTTTTCGTTTTTTTCTCGGAAGAGCTACGCTGTTAACGAGGGCCTCGCATGTTGATCGGCCTGGGTATCTTCATCAACCAGGGCCTTCTGCATTGCTCTTGGCCTCTTCCAACGGGGTCAGTGGGACCTTACCCAGTTGTCGAAAGCCCCTCACGTGCCAGCGCACGCCAGTGCACTTCTTTCATTATATTTCGCCTGCTGTAGTGTATAAGGCTGGCTGCATGCATTCATGTGTAAGATCAATTTTTCTCGGCGTCTTAGCCGCAGCTAGGATCAGCCCCGATGTGTTCCAATTAATTTTTCGCGCCGGCGACGTCCAATATTTACTTACCCGTTGGTTGTTATAGTTACGACACTCATCACACTTGTGCATGATATTGTTAACGCCTACAGTTTGAATACTAGTTTATGTTCTACTTTTTAATGAAGCCAAAACCCAAACTTCACATCGGTCATTAGTCATCAGATGATCACGGCATCGACCAGCCGTCTAGCCGCCGGAAACCGGCGGCTAGACGACCTTGGGATCAAGTGTCGTATCGACCTTGTGTGCTATCGACCTTGGGATCAAGTTTCGTACTTGATTTTAGTGGTGTTAAGCAGTCAATGTTTATTCCATTTGCGACATCTTTTCCAGAACTACTTGGCCTCAAAATGGCATGATCCACAATGATTTGGAGCAGGTGCCGCAGGGGGGGGGGGGGCTGAGAGAGTAGGAGTATGATTTTGCCCCGTCAAGATCTTTGGGAGGCCCTTTATCCCAAACGAAAGGCATTGTAACTACCCGCAGAGATTAGCCATAGCGTGCCTCTCTCAGCTACCTCCCGACAAAAATTCTGGATCACATACAGCTGCACGGAAGCATCATTATGGCGCCTACCCTGTTGCCAGACTTTGTTGCTATTGCCAGAGCTCGCTGCGCGGGCACCGGACCTTGGACGTTCAGAAAAGACCGGCAGCCTTCCGTCAGCCGTCAGCCACAGCCAGCCAGGCCGGCAGCCACAACCAGTCAGGCCGGCAGCCGCCAGTCACGTTTCGTGCACGTTTGGGACCGTTACTGAACGTTATGAAAGACCGCTTTACCTACTGAGCACTACCATTGCTTTGAAAGGCAAACCGACGCCCCAGCGGCGAGGGCCATTAGCGAAGCAGCTCTGTGACCGCAGCGCACGTGACGTTGGTGCTATCGCGTGAATCGGGGCTCGATAATTATGCAAGGAACAAACGTGATGTAGAAATTGCCTGACCCATGTCTCCGCTCCACTTAACCAGCGCCATGCCAGAAAAACCCAACCAGATTTTCCTCAACAGTGTGTTGCATTAGCCTCTTAACATTTTGCTGCATTTGGCTGGCGTGTGAGTTTGGAATGCACCATGATACAGACAGCGAGCGGCCTCATGTGCGCGGTCCTGATGTGGGCGGTCCTGATGTGAGCGGTTGCTGATGTGGGTGGTCCTGGTGAGGGTGGTGCTGATGAAGGCGATGGTGTGGAAGGTCCTGATTTGTGTGGTGCTGATGTGGGCAGTCCTGCTGTGAGCGGTGGCAGCGAGATTGCGGCGCTGATGCCGGTGGCCTCCTGATGCAATCGTTATCTGATGCCTTCCTGATGCCTTCTGATGCAATCGGGTGATGGTCAGGCCTCAGTAGAAGCCGGG